TTTAAATAATAATAGATTGTATTTTGTATTGTATTGTAACTTGTGACTTGGTTTTAATTTGTCAGCTTATAAAAAAAATTAAAGGTTTTATATATCAACTGGTTGAATTACATAAAATTGTATCAATATTAGCTTCCAACTCCAAAAATAATAAAATAAAATCCTGGCTACGTGCCTGCTGAATATTTTTTTTTCAAAAAATTTTGATTTTTTAATATTTCTGTTCTAAGAATATTTTCTTTATTTATTTTTTTTAATGAATTTATTTTTAAATCAGTGTAAACTTGAATTTCAATGAGTATTTGAATGATTTGGTGAATGTGTGGGTGGGGGGTATAAAATTGACTATTGAAGTGCATGTGAAAGTTTTCAGTTCCGTTCGTTGTTCTTGAGTTATCGTCTGCTTCACTAGCCCATAATTCTGGCCCAAAATCAATATAAAATTTTAAAATATAGTTCGGAAAATCCATACTTATTACTAGGAGCTATTAAAATTAGCTTTTTAAATGCGTCCGGAACTTCATCAGAGTTTAAATTAGGTAAACCAAAAAAGTATTTAAGCCACCTTCCGATTTTCGAATCATTTTTCGAATATTTTTTTAGTAATATTTTATTTTTTTCAAACGCCTGAACCAACTTTGTTCTAAATAGAATGTACAATATATTATTTTACACTGCGGAAAACTCTAAAGAACAGCAATATGAGTAGGTTTTTCGAAATCTGCATGAAATATTTTTACAATTAAGTTTTTTCCTATTAACTGCATTGACAAGTTCATTACGGTTTTCCACATGGACACATATGTTGATACTTGTTTATTTTTCAAAAAACAATATACTTAAGGTAAATAATAATAATTTGTATAAACATGAATTGTATTCAATTGCATGAAATGTTTTGGTGCATATGTAAAAGTTCCGTCACTAAATACGTGTTCATTATCACAAAGCACTTTCAAGTTATACTTACAAGTAAATAAAATAACAGAGTTATCGTCACTTGAAAAACAAAATTGATTAGATTTATGCAACAACGTTTGTTTCATCTCTAAAAGTTGTTTTAACGACTCGTCAAAGTTTGTTGATAGCGTGGGAAAATACTTTTTTCGTACATAATATATTGAACGATGGATCAATTTCAAGTCACTATGTTCCATGTTCTCTGGAACATCGGTATTTTTTAGTTCTTGGCGTATTAATTTGTTTGGACGGGTATGGAGATCATTTTCTGCCTTTCTTTTTAGTGAGCTGCTTACAATTTCTCTGAAAATAATCTGATCTGAATATGCATCATGTTTATGGTCCGTGTTAGATTGATCGACAATTTGGTTATTATTATTTACAATAATACTAGCATTACAAAATTTATTAGTACACTGATAATTGAAATTCCATTTTTTAATTCCCTATACTCTCGAAATTTGAATTTGTTCAATATTTTACAACATTTTTCTCTCCGTGTTAAATAAATACCGTCCATTGTTATTACACCGCAAATCGCAATCGGAGACTAAACTAAAATGTATAAAAGAGATTTGAAATAAGGTTTATCAGTTATCACCGGAGACGAAATTGTATTGTGGAAATTAGCAATTGTTCGCGCAAGTTATCTGGTGCGATGAAATCAAAATAGATTTTATGGCCTTAATCGCGACTTCTCTTCTCTGAAGTCAATGGCTCTTACAATATACTATTTTCGGATTAGTAGGTCAATGACCGTCAGAATTAGCTATCTATACGGAAATATAAAAACCGTAAAGATTACGCATAAGATATTGCCCTACTTCGCATAATATAAGGTCCCCAACTTGGATGCAGCCAAAATTCGTATACCGCAAGTTCGATTGGATATATATAACCAGGGGTGTCCAACCTTTTGTGAAGACTTGGCCACATCATATAGGTAGAAGTTGTGGGCCACATATTTTTTTTCAATAATAATACATTCAAATTTAATAATTAAATTATATTTTATAATACAACAATATATTTTTTTTATAATTTTACAATAACAAATAATAAGCAGAAATATTTTTACAAGTATTAGTATTTAATTATAAGTACACAGAAAAATATATTTATTTATAACAAAAAAAAAGTTTTAGTTTAAAAAGTTATTTAATGTGAAATTTGAAATTGCTTTTTTTGTGAAAGTAATGAATCAATATCTGGATCGATCGAAGTTGTGGCAATCCTTAAACAACTTTCAAGATGCTTGTCTGATATAGAGGACCGATTCTTACTATTTGTGTTTTTCATTCTTGAAATCAATTATTCACAAATGTAGGTACTGCCGAAAAGCGAGAACATGAATAAGGCATGGTCATGAAGGACTGGATATGTTTCTTTGGATAGATATAATTTATAAAAATCTAATAAAGATGACTGATTGAATTTTTCTTTGAGTTAAATATCTGATTGCAACTCAATACATTCCATTTGAAATTTAGTTTCCACAGCTGGAATGTCAACCGAAAATGGTGTTGCGAAAATAGCAAAGAGTTGACTATTCCTACGAAAATCTTAAAAATGGGTATCAAATTCATTAATTAAAATTAAAATCAAAGACGCATATTTTTCGCTATTCTTAAGGTTGTACTTGACACAGGGAAAAACATAAAATTATTCACCTTAACTTGACTTAACCATAATTTAAGTTTCAGTTCAAAGGCAGTTATTATTTAAAACATATTACTAATGAGTTGATTTTACCTTGAATACGTACGTTTAACTCATTTAAATGAGTAGTTATGTCAACTAAAAAAGCTAAATCCATTAGCCAGTTTTCATCTTCAAACTCTATGACAGGTTTTCCTTTTGACTCCATGAACGACTTTATTTCATTTCGCAAATCATAAAATCTTTTGAGTATTTTACCTCGACTAAGCCACCTTACTTCTGAAAAGTAAACAACGTCTGCAAAATCTGCTTCCATGATTTGAAGGTAGTCTTGGAATTGACGATGACTTAGTCCCCTAGCTCGAATAAATGTAATACATTTAATGACAACTTGCATAATGGTATCCATTTTCAAAGCTTTCGCACATAAATTTTCCTGATGAAGAATGCAATGGTATTTCATCAAACCATTGTTTCCAACTAAAACCGCGTGGTCTTCTATTAATTTTGTAAGTCCTTTTTTACCTCCCATAGCAGAGGCACCATCCGTATCTATACCTGATGTATTGACCAAGTTAAAAAAAAATTTATTAAGGGTAGTTTCTACTGCCTCGAACAAATCACAAGCTTTTGTAGTGTCTTTCAGTGGTACTAAAGAAGCCATTTCTTCAGATATATTGAATTCAATTATTATAGCAACTTGTGACGTGTCCATTACATCAGTATTTTCATCAATAGCCAAAAAATAATATTTGAAAGAACGAACTTTTTCCTCCAGTTTATTTTCGATGGACTTTTCAATGTCATCGATTTGCTGCTTATAGTCTGATGAGACAGACTAATTTTTGAAAAGTCTGTTTTTTTTTATCAGGACACAATACATCTGCAACACTTTCCAAAAACTCCTAAATAAACTCGCCATCAATAAATGGTTTTGATTTTTTTTGCAATCAAAGATGACACTACATAACTAGCTTTTGTAATGGTTAGGGACTCAGAAGTAGCTTTTTTAATATTGAGTTGCTGAGTAAAAAGACATGTTTTTAATTCTAAAATGTTTTGTTTCCGAAAAAAAACCTTAATAACAGTTCATTTTGGTTGCATGTTATTGTAAATAATGTCTTTTTAAATTATAATCTTTAAAAACTGAAATAGTTTCCTTACAAATTAGGCATAATGCTACATTTTTCATTTCTATAAAAAAGTATTCCGCGGTCTACTTTTCATTGAATATTCTTCCTTTATCAGTTATTTTTATCTTCTTATTGGACGACATTTCGCAATTTGATTATTAGTTTATTATACAAATCAAATTTATAAAAATTTTATTAAATAAATAATAATATTGAGTACTAACACCACTGTTCTGAACAAAACGTGAACATCTGACCATCACGCGCGCACAACTGTACCTATGTTTGTAACAGATTACATGTGCTTAGTAATAATTCTTTATAGATAGGTATTTTATTTTTATTTGTTGATAAATGACACATAATATTGGTATCGGAGCCAATAAAGATAAGACACTAATAAAGTTTATCTTTAGGCCCGATGCACACATCCGTATGTAATATAAGATAAGATGCCGCAACGTTAAAAATATGGACGTGTGCATCGGCCCTTACAGTTTTTTTGATGTTTTTTAATTTTGTATTCTTAAAATAAATTTGTTCTCGTAATGTTAATATATTATATACAATTAATTCATGGTTTTTAAATTGAAATGAGGGCCGCATCAAAATCTACCGCGGGTCGCGGGTTGGACACCCCTGTATATAACCATCTTGTAAATAATTTTCTCCTTTACAATTTTTGTTTGAATTTTTTTTTTGTATAACCAGTATAAAGCAAAATATTAACACAAAGGCTATTTGCTTTTAGCGAAAACGTCTTATTTCATTAAAAACCTACATATTGTTAGTCTTGTACCGCAAAAACTATAACATTTGCGTACAAATGTCATGAGACCTTTTTTGTATATTATTACCTCCTTTATAATTTTTATCTGAAACTTTTTAAAGTACGACCAATAAAGAAACGATATATTTAAAAAGACCATTTTTGTGATCTTTGACCTTGAATAATCTTAAACGTTACATGATATCGTGGTCGATTTTTTACACGTTGTTATAATGATGTCATAAAGGTGTATATTAATATTTAGTTAGCTGATAATTTTACCAAGCTGAACCCCTTTTTTCGTCTAATATAACTGGACCATTAGGGTTTTTAATAAACAAAAGAAAATGATAAACCAAATTTCTTATATTATTAATATTGAAATAGTAAATACTTTATTCAAATCAACATAGGTAATTAAAAGTATCTTTCGTATTAAGTATTTTTTTTTATAAAAAAAACCACTAATATTGTATTACCTTTGCAAAAACAAGGGTGTATTAATTGTTCACAACTTCCTCCACAATAACATATTTTGCAGAATGCTATAGACGATTTTTGATTTAGCAATATGACATCTACAGTTCTTGTATTATCTGATTCTGTGATTGTAGGCAAATGTGTTTCTGATTTCAACATGTTTTCAAGAATTTCAAAAAATAAATAAAATCTAATAAATTGTTTTAAATATGTTAAAGCCTATGCATGTTCTAAATCTAAAATAAACAAACAATTTTCTCCACATGGAAACGTTGTCAAACAATGAGTACACTATTGTATACACTATTTTGTTAAAGCAAAAGGACTATCTAACATAAATAATTAATATTGTTTCTAACGCCAATAAAAAGCCTACAGTCTGGCTAATTGAACGGTAAGTAGTATTGAAAATTAATTACAACTCTTTTTTAGAAAATTATAGTTCTCCTTAGATTGTACAAACATAATATGACGTAAAAAATTAAAATAATCTTGATTTGCTCGAAATTACTAATTTTTTACTACATGTAGTATGATATATTTATCTTAACACGGCGTTCAAATAAATAAATATTTAAATATCCTTACTTTTATATAATTTCTATTTCTGTATTGAATGAAGTAAATTATTATTTTTTTAATAATACTCGAGTGTCACGGTCCATGCCTTGTATTAAGCGTGCCAAATATTATTGAACCATTCAATTCTATGTAATTTGTTGTAGACTAAGTTAGTACTGTTGTTACCAGTTACCACCCATCGCGGATGACGTTTCATTCAATTCGTGCCTAAACTTATTTCGTACTACGTTGTATTCGTTCCGTATATTTTTTTGTTTTAATATGCAAGTACTAGATGATATTGAAGCCGCATGCGTTATTTTTGCATTACACGAGGAACACAAACTCAGCAACGAGACAAAATTAACAGCAACATTTTTAAAAAGACCAGCAAATTGTCGGTTTCAAGTGACATTTATGACCTTCGTAGTTACCCAGAAGAGTTATTGAAATACTATCGAATGTTGATAATATCTTTTGATGAACTGGAAAGTAGAAATAAATATTTTACATATCATTTTATAGACCAATGTATCATGTTTTTTAGTATGAAATAAAATGTAAATAATTATATACAATTAATAATTAATATTATAATGCTAATACCTATTATAATAATTATATTATATTACTTATGGCCATGGGAATGTATAATGTTAATTTAAAAAATAAAAAAAAATCATATATATATATCATCGTTACAAAAAATTACGATCTGTCAGAACTATATTACTAAGTATATTTTATATCAATACTATTATATAATTTTATTTTACTATTAAGCATTACTACAGTAGGTTAATGTTACGTAATTGTGGGTATAAAAATATAATAATATACTTTAAAAGTATTGTATTGATATATACACTTTAGATTTAATAAAATAAATAGAATTACTTCTGTTTAGATATACAAACATAAATCAAAATATATATATATTATTAGTCATTAAATTTCTTCCGTTTAGCTGTATAAATATAAATTATCAAAAAAATGTATTATTATTCATTAAAATAATTTAGACTTAAGAAAATTAATAGAATAGTAAATAGCAGTTGTACAAACAAATATCCATTAGGACACATGATAAAATGAATGATGCATGATTAAACACACATAAATAAATAAGCGATGTCACTATCAACATCTATAGACTATAAGAATGGACACAACAATCTACACCGCGTTCAGTCGCTCACCTGATATCTTTTGAGTATATTTTGTATCAATATTTTTATGTATTTGTCTTACTAGTAAAATAAATTTAAAATAGTTATATTCACATCATTCAATCATTACAAATGTATAACCTTTTTTTTTAGCTGTTTAATTGTAACTTTATATTGTTGTATAGATATATGTATGTATAAATATATGGATGTATGTATGTATGTGTATGTATGTCAGTGGCGTAACTATAAAATTCTAGCCCGTGTGCAATATTATTTTATGGCCCCTAAAAATCGTTATATGAATAAAATTAGATAATTACACGTATACGAGGTGTTCAATAAATACCCAGACTAAAATTATTAAAAATTATATTTCAAACTTACAAATTATTTAAATGGATCACTTTCAAAATAGTATCCTTTAGCTTCAATACAGTGCTCCCAACGGTCTTGCCACTTTTTGAAACACCTTTGAATTTCTTCTATAGTTATAGCCTTCATCTCGTGTCACGTTATGAATAGTTTCGTTAACGTCTTCAAATCTGTGGCCTTTGAGGGTACTTTTTAGTCTCGGAAACAAAAAAAAATCACAGGGAGCTAAGTCAGGTGAATATGGTGGGTGAGGTACCACTGGAATATTTTTAAATGTCAAAAATGCACGTACGGAAAGTGCAGAATGCGCCGGTGCATTGTCATGGTGCAAAAACCACAACTTTGATTTCCACGCTTCTGGCCTTTTATGGCGTACTTTCTCTCTTAATTTTTCTAGTACTTGTTTATAGAACACTTGATTTACTGTCTGACCTGTAGGTACAAACTCATAATGGACTAAACCATAAAAATCAAAAAAAACAACGAGCATTGCTTTGATGTTTGACCGGACCTGACGACATTTTTTTGGACGAGGTGAATTTGAAGTCTTCCATTGCGATGATTGGAATTTGGTTTCGGAATCATATCCATACACCCATGTTTCATCGCGGACACTCTTGTCATACTCAATTCATCTGATAAAATCGAATGACAAGTACCAATTGATATGCCAACTTCATTGGCTAATTCTCTGACTGTTAATCTTCAGTCGTATCTAATTTTGTCTCGAACTAAAGTAATGGTATCAATTGTTTTTGATGTTGATGGACGCCCAGGACGATGGTCATCTTCAATGGATATACGACCTTCTTTAAATCGTTTGAACCAGTCAAAAGTAACACAACGGCTTAGTGCAACATCTCCAAAAGCCAATTTTATCAATTCAAAAGTTTCCGTCGCATTTTTCCCAATTTTGAAACAAAATTTAATACACGCGCGTTGCTCAGAAATATTATCCATCGTGAAATCGCGATTTTATACAAAACGACCAACTTTGAACGCGCACTGTCGATGACTGATTTGAGATAATGATTATTATTATATATTGAAATAATGGTCATTATCTCTAGTTTATTTTGGTGTAACAACATTATCGATAACATTAAATATTTTTCTGCAATAATTTTAGTGTGGGTATTTATTGAACACACCTCTATATATAATTATATTATGTATTATAATAATATTTATAATTCATAAGATATATCATAATTAATTAAATTATATTTATACATGAAATAAATGACATAATAATATGTATTTTTATACACTTCGTAATATAAAAGTTTATGGTTTTATCGTAATATATTATTTATTATAAAATAGGTAGTTTAAAATTATTAACAAAATATAAAATTTTAATATATTTTAAACAAAATATTAAAATTCTAGGGCCCCCTTTTGGACCGTCTAGGCCCCGGGCCCCGGTGCAATGCACACCGCGCACCTATGCAACCATGTAGTTACGCCACTGATGTATGTGTGTGTGTGTGTGTCATTACACTTGCTCCAGAGCGAATTTGATAATCATCAGGTATGAAGTGCTCACTACATATAAAAGTGTATTTTGTAGGAATAATTTTTTTTCTTTTGATCATGTTCACCCATTTTTTGTAATAACTCAGATTTTTTGAGTGGGAATCTAGATATTAAAATTAGGGATTCAATTGAATACTAATTTATATTTTATTACAACAGTAATAGAACCTATTAATTGCAGCAATAAACAGCATAATTTTAAATTAAAAAATTAAAAATATATTTATTAAGACTACCTGCATTAATTTAAAAATATAATAACTAGATAATATTCACCTATGGAATTGAATAGATTTTAATTTATTCTCCTTGTTCCACCTGTTTGTACACCCAAAGGCCGAACATGACAAAACAATTTTTATATGGAAATGAACTTAAAGTCTCAATTACTTTATATAATTAATAAAATGTAATTAGTAAATACACAAAACAAAAATAGTGAATACTATACATGAGATAAGCATATATAGCTGTATTGATTCACCTTCGATTTCACAATCTATATAAGGACTGATTGTTCTGTTACTCGTAGGTATATTGTTGACTGCATTTATTGTCTGTTGATTCCTACTCTCTTCATTTGGTTCATTATGTGGTGCTTCTTCTGTTACTTCCAAGTGCACCTGATTAATTTGTGGTTTATTCTTGTCTTCGTTGTTTTCTCTTTGTTGTCCCCTTTGACTCCAATTATTTTGTGCACGTTTATTGTTATGGTGATTCGGGTTGCTATGTTCTTCTTCTCCAGGTGCTTTTAATGCTGTTAGCATTGTTTTATCTGGTAGTGAAATTAATATTACCCTTATGTATCCAGAATAATGTTTAGCTATATTTCTGACTATTTCTGTTTCTGATAGTCGTGGTACCTCCAAATGTCGTAGCTTTGTGGCCCATACTGCGAAATGCCCTCTATAGTTCATATCTGGTGGTATTTGGTTAGTGTTCAAACATTGACTCCATATCTGTATCTGTATTTTCCTAGACCAAAATTCTTCCATGAAAGCATTATTAAAATCTTCATAGTTGGCCAGTTGAAACATTATTGTTGAGAACCAATTGTATGCTGTGGCTTTGAGGCAGTCCCCTACTATAATGAGTTTTTCACCGATGTAGGTTTGCTTAATCGCAAAGTATTCTTCTAATCGATTTAAAAAATCTTTCGGATGCTGGTCCCGGTTATTTCCGTAGAATGTTGGTCGCAAAATGTCTGTGTTGCGTGATATGTCTATTTTTTGATCTATATTCATATATTTTTTTTCTATTTCTATTAATTTCCTTTTGTAATTTTCTTCATTATTTTTATTTTTTCCCAACAATCTGTTTTGATTGTTTCAATTTCTTCTCAAAGTTGGTTTGCATATTGTTGATATTCATTTTTGAATTTTTTAAATTCTTCTTCACTGATTGTTTTTTTCTTGGGTGGCATTTTTTTTTTTAAAGAAGTAGGTCGATGTGGTAAACGCGATTCTGATACGATGTCTTTTTTTCGTGTTTTATTGAGCTCTTGAGTTGGGCGCC